TGCAATGGCTCCACATTTTTTCCTTCCTTTCATTCACTATGAAGCGGATTTGTGCGGTTCAGCCTTATACTGTCAATACACCTTACTTACTTTAGCCATTCTAAAAAGGATTAAGTGATTGGGAAAGATTAGGAGTGACAACATGTACGTGAAGTTGGGTTATTTTAAGGCATGCGATAATAAGCAGTTTCGATGCTCGGACTAAAAAACGGATAATATAACATTCTGAATAAAGTGCAATCGCAGGCTGGTATCATGTCTACAGCAGGAACTTTATAAGTGCATTACTGTAGCAAGAATTAACCCATGTTTTCAGCGTTGTGGTATTCACACAGACTTAATTATGTGATAGCAGAAGCTATTTTTCACACACATGTCAACTTGGGGAAGTAATAACTATTGATTTACAGATGATTCTATTGAGACACTTGTTGAGATCTGGCATGAGGCCCTAGAGCAAGCTGTAACTAACCCATCATCGCCATTTACATATATAACTGCATCAATCTGGAAGAGACAACAAAAAGAAGAAATACAACCTGCAGTGTTCTGTAAGGCAGATTTTGGAGGGAGGAGGTGTTTGTGTGTTCTTCTATTCTGTTCACGCTGCCTGACGTGCATCTTGCAACAATTTATAGCTTAGTTACACTCCATATATTCTCTATTAGCAGATGCTTAAGATTTCTGAAAGCAGTTAACTGTTGTTAGCCTGTGAAGTGTTAACCACGGGAGAGATGGATGACTTAATTTGTGAAATTTTTACTATCCACGCAACAACTGGGAGCGGGAGGGAGGATAATGGGGGGGGGGGATCAGGGTGACTTTGGCAGTGATCCATCTGTTCTACATACGAGCACAGTCACCCTGCGCCTCCTCACCCCTAGATCAAAAACTGAAAGCATCAAACCTGCAACTTAATAGTTGCATGCGCAGTCTTGACTGAAAGGTAAAATAAAGGTGAAACAGCGTCTGACAGCTTCAAACGCAGACTTGGTAAGCACCGGAGGCGCCCCTATCCTATGATTAACATCCCTCTGCAACACATTGCAGATCTGTGCGTGTTTGACCCCCATGCTTTTATCTCAGTCAGTTAATGCTTCTTTGTATGTGAAGACGATTCTTACCCCGGCTGTACGCCTAACGTCTTCAACACGTAGTGTATGCTGATGAATTAAAGCCTCATCAAACCGTGGCTCAGCGGAGTTGAGCGAGGTACATTAAATCAATTCTAATAACCCTTGCATGTTGTTGTGTGTGGGGCTTGGTGACAACACTGGCATCTGGGTGTGAAAAGCGTACTAGACTTCCACTCATCAGGTGTATGGGACGGACAGACAACTTCATAGTCCCCATCTAACCTGACAGGCTGTTACTGTGGGCTCTGACCGCTTGGTGCCAGCCTTATTTATATGCTGCTGGTGAGAGAGATCTTGTTGGGCAATATGCCTTGTACATAGATGCATCACTGCTTTGAAGTGTGAGCATTTCTGTGTGAGTACACGTCTCTGCGTAGCCTCACTTAATCTTTTGCAGCGGTCACGACAAGTTGTACATATTTATGCCAATGGAGAATGCAAATCTGTGCATGGATTTTATTTACGGATGACGATTTTATGTTGTCTGTTGTCTGGCAGTGAACACTGAAGATTGATTTGGCAACAAGCCATGTCCCCCTAGCAGGTGAAGGTTCCTTTCGCTCTCAGTGGAGCTGTAATGTACGGTCTTCCTTGCCCCCGCCGTACCGGAAGCGTAACAGGCACTCTATGTAGTGCCATCATGACTCCCTGACTTTTGTCCCCCCCCCCGTGGAGCAGGAGAGGATGAAGCAGCCATACATCAAGGGCCAACTGAGGCGGTGGCAGACAAAACCGACGGAATCAATGAAGCTTTAGCTCAAGCCCTACGTCTGTGCACTCAGACCTCGCCTCGGCCTCTCTCCCTCCTTTTCCTACTCAAATTCTGGTCGTATTTCCTCTTTGTATTTCGTGTCCATTTTTTTTCTCCATCTCAGTCTTTTCCGGGGTGACATCATTTATCTGTGTCTGACTTCAACTTTCGTCAATATCATCTCTGTCTGCCCTCCCGCTCGGCCCCAGGTGAACATGCTGATACACTGCGGAGGGGTCAGCCTTGACAGGAGTTGAAAAAGAGAGACAGAAGCACTTAAGAAAGAAAGAAAAGGGCCGAGACCTGAGGATTACTGAAGGCCATTCAGCTTGTTAGTGCAGCGGCACCTACGTCAGACAAACGCATACTCCCTTTTTTCAGAGGGGCTGAGTGAATTCAAGCTCTGGGTTGGTGAATGTTTCCCAAACAGACAGTTTAAATGATAGAGGGCCTAGAATAGTACCCACAAACCATTTCAGACAGCAGTGGAAAGGCTATTAGAGCAATAGAAGGAGCACTGGGGAGACGTTTACGGTAATTAAACCGGGGCATCAATGTCACTGCTACCTGTTTACGACCTAAAAGAGTAGCAGTTTTCTTGTGGTGAAGGGGGTTGGCTTCCATTTATTACTGTTGATTATCATTAGTAAGTCCTATCACAAAGGAAATGGGAGTTTTATCTCTCTTTGTAATATTTCCCCACAAAAGTGACCCTTCAGCGATAATAGTTATGGGTAGAGGAATGGTTCAAATTTAAAATGTAATAAATATTTTCTGGAATAATTCTGCTAATTATTATTTTAGGATCAGCGCTTATTCAGTGTGTAAGCATGTAAGACCACTTTAATAGCAGGGTGCTTTGCTTTAGTGCCATTTTTTTGAATGGCATATTTTAAACCCGACGTAAAAGATCGAACTGATTGACTAAAAGATTATTGCAAAACACTTTAATTTGATGCCTGAAAGATTTAGGACTAAAACATCAACAACATTGACAACATGATGCTTCTAAATTAAGATGCCATACAGTTACTGTGCATGTTTGCTCAATCGTACTATTGGGTCCTGACTCTACTCACATAATCTGTAATATGGATTCATATTGGATTCACATTCAGCTGCCTACATCCACCAGTCTGCCAAAAAGGCATGTGTGCAAACATAGAACAGGCTTACATAAGACCTTTTAATATTGGCAGTGTGTGTGTTTGTGTGCGTGTGTGACTTTCTAGTTTACCAAAATCCTGGGGGTCTAAAAGGACACATAACCATGTATAATGAAGTAAAACGTCAATGTGTGTATAGGTGTTATAAAAATGTCTTGTCTAAAAATGTACACGCAACTCAGCATTGTCCACCATTTGGCCTCCTGACATTGACTAGGGTCAGTTTCTTGGGTCAGCTGGGTCAACAGCATTATGCCCGGCCTTTTTAATTAACGAGGTATTGATCTTCCTGGGGGGGGGGGGGGGTTTCTGTGGGGGTGAGTGAGATAAGCAGGGAAATGGGACCAATCCAAGAAAAAAGGAGGCACGTTCTGGAAGAACAAATTTGACGTTGAATGCAATCAATTGCTGCATCCCATTCCCAGTGCGACAGCCTGTGCTGCTCCTTTAAGCCCAAAAACCCCAAACTCACGTGAATTATTGTTATTATTTCACTGGCAGAAAACACAAGCATCTCTTAATTGTTTTCCTGTAATGTAATCTTTGGAGACATAACTATTTCTTGACAAGCCTGCACACTATCATTAATAATTTTACATTTTACATTACGCTTGTTTATGAGATAACCATGGAATTGGAATTTTCCAACACACAGAGAAACATTCCCAAATGCACGATCCCATCCATTCGTTCATGCCTATTACAGTCAGATTTAAGGCCTTCAAAGAGTGAGCAGACACGGACCCTAACTTGTGTTATTTGTCAGGACAACATGACAGTGTGTGTGATATAACCTGCATGTCCTCAGCACACTGGGTGGTATACAAAAGGGGAAATGATAGCGAGAGGTATCGAAATTAGATATTTTAAATAAACTTTGGTCAGAACCAAGATTAGAGGTTTTTATTAAACGCTCAAAACACCCACAGATATACACATTTCTGGCGCCCACTGAGGGTAAAAACGATGCCTCTTCCTGGTCCTGTCCTCTGAGGCCAAAAGGGGATTATCAATTGAAGAGAAACTGGCGCTCCAGGAACCCTGGAGGAAGTCTAAAACAGTCATTATATCTCCACCAAAGATGCCCAGACAGCAAAGAGGAATGTTGCACATTTTGTTCACAGCCAGCAAAGGAACTTTGAACTTCATTTTGTCATATTAACTATTAAACAGACAGGAAGTTCCAATTCCTCTCAGATTAAGTAAAGAAAAGAGTCTAGACTGTAAGAGAGCAGAGAAAGAGGAAGATATCAGGAACAAAAGAGACAGGCGCACAGGGACACGATGAACACAGGAAGACAAAACAGATGATGTGCTTGCATGTCACGTGGGTACACTGCAAATACCGCACTGCAGGGTTATAACCTGCACACTGCTATCCTGATCATTTATTCAACTCATCTGTAAATAAACCAAAACACAACATCACTGCCCCCGGGCTTCCAGCGTGTGTGAGAGCCAATGGAGTCAGCAAGAGCACCGAAGCAGCTTAATTCTTCAGCAGCGGAGCCTTGTGGTTAACAGCATGCGTGAGGCATCGGCCACTTACTGGCTTTCTTGCAGGTGTACACACATGCACACATATCGGCTATGTAGTCAACCTCAGTACAGGCTGGGATGATGTGCTGTACGTAGGCATGCAGAGGCACCGAACTGACTCAAATGAACAGCCGAGCTGCTGGGCATGATGCCACCAAAAAGGAAAAAGGGAAGCCACAAGGTGAAAAGTCAGATGGAACTGGTGGAGAGGGATGAATGTAGCGAAAAAAAGGAATTGACCATTGAAAATACTAAAGAAATTGTGCTCAACTAAAAGGTAATAAGAGGGTGTAAGAGGCAAGCAGCAGAGAGAGGGAGGTGGAGTTGGATGTTCAGAGCTAAGGCAAGAAGGGGAGGGAGTTAAGGAGGGAGGCAATAAGGATACACTGTAAAGAGGGAGGGGGAAAGAGAGACAGAGCTTGGGAGTATGGGAGATGGGACGAAGTGATTGCACCACAGCAGTTGTTGATGAGAGGTGAGAGTTGGACCAGGAAAGAACAGCAACAAGGGCAGACCTCTCCTTCTATCCTCACCAGCAGCAAAGGCTGGTACCCAATGGTTTGTCCAGCGCGAATTACACAGCTTTGAGGAACAGTACAGCAGCAGTGACCGACTAAGGCGGACTATGATGGAGGTAAGTCACCTTCGGCTGCTTGACGTTATGTGACAGGGGGTTATGGTCTGATTTCAGGTTGTGTTTTGAAGTGTTTCAGATGTGTTCGTATTAACTAAATGTAGACATGGTTCCTTTTAGAAACACACTGAGTAACACACTCAGTTGTCATGACTGGACCAAAGTTTCTCGGCACGGAGGCATTCCGTCTTTTGATGCTTTTAATATAATATGCTTTTAAAGTAAAAGCAACTCTGTGTTTGAGGACATGCTGGCTCTGAGTGAACAGTCTGCTTTCAACAGTTTCTTAGTTTCTTTGCAGAAAACTGACAATCATGTTTCTTTACTTTCAGCACAGCCATTACTGGACTCACCATCATTTTTGTCTCGGCTGAAATAATAGGGTGCAGCATGGGGCTTCATTTAAATGTTGCACTGTACACAGCAATTATGGGAAATAAATGGTTGACAAAGAGAAGATAGTTATACGTGTTTTAAGCATGAATTAAGTGTGTCCATGTGTCCTACCCTATGATTCTCTAAAGTAATTGGACCAAAGGCTCTTCAATGTGATTTTGCATTGTGATTTATAGCAACACAATGAATAGATATGTGTGTGGAATAATTTACCCTTTGTACAACCTTCCAGTTTTAGAAGTGTCACACCTGTGTACAGTAATACGCGTTGAGACCTGTGTGTAACAAGAATTAATACATACTGAGCTGGTGGCATGCGAATAGGTAAGTATAGGGCACCTGTTCAGGCATGTTCAGCTCTGCGCTGTAACTTATTGACGTGAGACAAACACGGGGAGATGCAGAATCACAAGGCTGACAGCTCTCTTGTATTGTCACAACAGAGAAAAATGGAGATAATTGTTTCCCTACAGAATTCCCCTCGCAAATGTAAAGAGATTGACCCCACAGGTCATTTCCATTATATAAATTAAATGCAGCTTAGTTGCATATCTGTAGCGTGTGACAAGCCAATGGAGCTGTCATGACCTGCAAAACAAGACGCTTCTTAAAATAACCGTCCCCGATACCCAAATGCAGCATTCCTTCATGAGCTTTGAAGTGCAGCAACATCTCAGCTCAGGATGATGTTGCAAAGTTTTCAGTCATGATGCATATAAACTTAAAAGAAAATGATATTCTGACTGTGTGTAAATCAACTGAGCAACTGTGCACAGCAGCTGAGTAGCAGATGAATTTGTGAGCTGTGACAAGTCGCACTGTTGAAAGAGGCATCCAGAGTTTCCCTACAATGATTAATTCAGCAATTCAAGGTCAGGGGGCTTTTATTTTGGAGATGATAGCAAGTATTGCATGCAGCACATATTTCCAGCTGCGTTCACAATATTATAGGCCCCTAAAAGTGAGCTCATTATGTCTCCTCCTACTCCCACATTACACCAGCCACACACACACACACACACACACACACACACAATGCCAGAGCAGATTAGGAGGATGGTTATGCTCCAACCTTATCACAGAGTCTTCAGCTTGCAGGGTCAATGGGCCCCGTAACCAGGAAAGCCTTCATTCTTTTCCACCTACCTATGCATGTCACATGCACTGTGATACCATATCAAACAATAAATGGATAAAACTGAGTTTTAAGATATAGTGCTGTGAGTAAATGTGGGAAATGGAGATTTGTATGAAAAACGTCTCTCATGCTACTAAGTAAAAGTGTTTGGAATCTCATTTAATGATGTTATATGTTGAGCGTATGATAATCTGTCACCAGAAAAAATAAAGCTTTTATGACAATCAATGTCAATCAAGTTTAAATGTCATATTCATGAGGTGGTCGTACCATGCAATAAAGACACAGCCTGCTCAAAACAAGTGGTGGGTAATGGAAGAAATAAATATTTATGGGATGTGGATGAGCAATAATTCAAAATGTCTAAAAATACTTTTATTTGTTACAATCCTTTTTCACTTGCTGTTTTTAGAGTGGGATAAAAGCCTTAGATGTTAATATTTTATGGCTATAGCTGGCTGGAAATCTGCAGCATCTTACTAAATACACATACAAATCTTCAAAACTATTTTTGGACACATTCCAGGGCCCTGGATACATTTGAGTCATTTCAGAAAGTGCAAATACATATTGTAATGCAACAATCTATGTCATATGAATGGGATCAGCTCAATAAAAGAATATGCAAGGAAATTTCAGATATTTAATTTTAGGGCTCCTTAAATTCATGAGCATCAATTTCCATCCTTGTTGCAGCACTAAAGGCTCCCATTTAGACTCCATTAAAAATACATTTTCCTCTATACTCCAGCTGCCAAGGTTATGCAAATGCCTGTGCTCCAGGAGCAATAGTTTGCCAGCCGTACAAACCCGCTGAGCAGTGCCCACAACCTCATAATCTATTAACATCTAAGGAGGTTGATTGTTCGGTTGACCTAATGTCTCATTTGGATGCACATAATAGTATCTGAATGCGATCCAAACCTAACAGGGTCCTTCACTAGAAGCTGGCCTTTGGTCTAAGATAAGGCCTCATGGCTGCCAAGAGGAGACAAAATCAAACTTATGAGCAATAAATATTCGACTTGCAAGATTCAGGTAAACGTGCCTTTCTCCGAATCCAAACCCGTCAACTTTTGACAGAGGACTGTTTACTAGACAATATAAAACATCATCATTGTATAAAGCAAAGTCAGTTCCACAGAATGTACATGTATAAATATATTTATACAGCTCTATACACACACACACACACAGACACACACACACACACACACACACACACACACTAATGTCTGTCTCTCTCTCTTTCTCCTCGGCTAGTATTCCATCTCCTTCATCTGAGGCAGTAATGAGTGTCTGCTATTCTGTTCTTCAACATCGACGCCCTATTCATGCTCAATCTCCTTTACAATGCACTAACGGGATTACCCAATTAGCTGCTACTGGATGCCATTAAGAACATGTGTCTGTGTGTGTGTGTGTGTGTGTGTGTGTGTGTGTGTGCGAGCGTGCATGGTCAGTAGAGTAATGTGTTAGCAGTGAAAGTGAAAGATTGATGACTGTCTGTACCTAACACTTCATTTCCAGTTGATGTTCTGCTGGAGGCCACATTACTCATTCCCACAACTCAGTCACAATGAGTAAGACACAAGATAGGCAAGTATGTGTGCATCTGCGGAGACGTGGGCGCGTCCACGTGTGCGTGGGAGTGGGTGTACACATCTGTGACAGAACACAGAAAATGACAGAGAAAAAGACAAAGTATTACTTTTTAATTACTCTATAATTTAAACGATCAATCAGACTAATTTGTGACTTGCATTGCTTTGTGTCGTCCGTAGAGATGCCTGCTTTATTACATGTGAATCATCAGTTACTTAGTGTAAGCAACAAATCAATCACAGGTTTCTAATGTGTTACATCACACTGGGGGCAATGTGTTCAGCGCGCAATTAGAGGATCGAACAGCAGGATGAGGATTGATTTTGAAGGATGTCTCCTCCAAAACTGAGCTGCAATTTTTAAAATCTTATTTTTGGTGAATATTAACTAAGAGGTATCTGGAGAGACAAACATCAGCCATTTACTCACTAAATAGTTTTCTCACGTGTTAAAGAGCAAACATGGATATTGTGGAAATGTAAATTTGATAGCCTTTGTACTTAATTAGTTGCACATACCTTGAATCCTAATTGTCACACACCCCTTTTAACATTCAAACACAATGCACTGGCTGTGTGCTTTTATCTACATTATCTTACAATGATAACCAATATTTGACCAAAATAAACATGATGGATTAGCTGCCTTGAGTTAGGTCTTCAAGATGTTATAGATACATCCCTCAAAGGTATTGGTTGCCTGCAAACAGTTTAAAATAAAATGAAAATAGAATAGAATTTATTTTTGTCTCCTTGAGAAAATTAATGGGAGGTAATGTCAGGGGACAACTTGGGGAATAACACTATTTAGTACAAACAAAATTCATAGTTGAAACCTGAAGTCTCAGAAATATTTCTGAGCGTTTTCTGCTTTTCTGACATAAATACTATTGGAATGGACTAAAAAAGACGTCGGCATTTATTGTGCATTTGTGACAAATAAAGTTCCATAATGCGTGTTTTTGGATTGAAAAGATGACTATGTTGAAATGGCAGTAAATAAAACTGACAAAACTTTATTATAAAATAATAAACATGTGAATGAAATGATGTGTGCACTTAAGATGACATACATTAACAAAGAACCATAAGCTTTCTATGACTGACCTAAAAAAACAGACACACTGAACTAGATAGATTTCCTGTGCATCTGTTCCAAATTACCATAAAGACAAATGCAAATTAAAGAGATACCATCTGGCACTGTGGCAGCATAGATGTACAGTGAGAACAGAGGAGAGTTTCACGGTCACTGTTAGGTATAAATCCTGTAAATGAAAAGCACACTGCTGCCTTCCACTGGCTGTGGAAATGGATTGGGCTATGCCCTCGGATTGTGTTTTATTTCTGCGTGTTTTTGGGCGTCGACCGGGGGGGGGCCAGCTGGTCTTGCGCGCGAGACAGACCTTGTGTGTCGGGCAGGTCAGCTGGGACACGACGACCCCCCCGCCCTTGCCCCCCCCCCCACCCTTTCCCCCCATTGCTTACACAGACACACGACTAACATGTGCACACACTCATTTGTTCAGACAAATAATCTCATGCAGCCAATCAGATATAACATTAGATGTATTCATGCATTCACACACCACCGATCTCCCAAAGGTTTAAATATGCCCCATCTACTCAAAAGCCACATGGTCAGACCGTTCGTGCTGCTCATTGAAATTTACAATGATGGAGCAAAGAAAAGACTTTCAAATCAATTCAATAATTTTACCTCAAATAGAGGTAAAACTGACAGATCCTCGTAGGAAAGTGAGTGGGAACGTAAAAGTGAAATGGCAGGATCATTGTCCAGACAATAAGGCTCGAGGGGCTGAATGGGACCAATCGAAGAACAATGGTAGACAGCTGAAAGGATGAGTGGAAAAGATTATGGAGGATCTACAGAGATACTTTATACCGTGGGTCGAAGGACTTTCTGAAAACACTTAATGGTAAAAACACAGATAATTTGATGGAATATCGTGACTTTGGTACAATGCCGTCTGCAAGTGTTCAAAGATCCAACCGTATAGGTCCTGCTTGCCATTGGTTCTGTTCTCACAAACAGATTTCTTAATCGATTCTTTTGTGACATCAATGAGTCAGTACTGTTCAATCGGTGAAGCTGTCTGTTTTCTTTACATTCCGAGGAAGTATTCCTTTTCCAGACCAAAATTGCGTCGAAGATTTACTCCTGTTTTGCCGGCAGCAGAGCTTAGGGGCCATAGCTCTTCTGTTGCTGTTCGTTCATTTGGAACACAGTCGCCTACCTTGTATATTTTTTTTTGCCGTGATGTATGATTGTATTTCATCCACGGGGTGTTTTGTCATGTACTCTGTCGGTTGATGAACGCTTTACTGCCCGTTGCGAGACTTGTGCGCCAGAAATGGGAATGTGTGAAAGTGTGTGTTGTTTTGTGCGCACGGGTAAAGGTGTTTGTGTGAGAGAATAAGTCTGTGAGTGTGTTTCTGAACCAACAGCAAATGGTGGTAAATCACTATAAACTTGACGCTCTCCAGCCCTCTCATTGGGAGGACTAGTCATTTATTTACACTCAAATACGGTCCTGGGCTGTTTGGGGAGAATACATCAACCGTCACACAGGAGTCCACACAAAGCGTGGCACACTTCAACAGACAAAGAGTGAAAGGAGAGAGGGCAAGCGTCTTTTTTTCTCCTTCACATGAAGTGTTGTTTGTTCAGGGAGGGTGCAGGGCACCGAGTAGGACGGATGGATGGATAGAGGGAGGGTCTGGTGGAGGGAGGGAGGGAGGGGGCGAGGATGAATGGTTATTACACAGTAAGTCGATGCACAAACAGAGGGTGTCTGAGGGTGCTAGTGGGAGAAAGGGGGGGGGGGGTAACACTGGGGGTGTAAAAGATCTTTTGTGAAAGCTGGGAGTTAATCACTTGTGCGGCACACGTCAGTTCTATGGGAGCACATGTTGTACACTGGCTCCCCTGGGGGGGAGCAGGAGGTCCCAAAACACACCCCCAGATGAATTTACATATCAGTTATAATGCAAAGCTGGGCAGGGGCCGGATAGAGAGACCCACCCCCTCCACAGAACAGTTAGTACCCTCCTGGCCGTGGTGATAGTGTGAGGTTTGCATTTACGGCCGGTTCATTCAAGGGCACACGCGCACATACACCCGTGTCTTCATGCCCAATCATTTTCTCCAGGACTGGATAGATGACTCTTCAGGGGCCTTGCTAGAAATGGAGGTTTAGATTGACCTGGCAGTAAGTACAATCTATTGTTTTATTACTTCAGTCCCATGTCAGTAGTGGATGCTAATATCGGAGAGTAATAGCGCCTTCACTGGAGTTTAGATTTAGCGGCAGAAATCCAGGCACAGTGGAGTAGAGGCAGTCACAGTCTTTTAAAAGACATTTACATCAGTGGTACTGACTGGGGGAATGCTTTGTAGGTACCAATTCTTTTCACGTTTACTTTCTAGAATATATTTTGAATTTCATTGCGAATGAAAGGAAAAAGGCAAACTGAGGCTGTCCTAGAAGACTTGGAGACTTGGACTATTTCATGCTTCATGCAATTAGGGCTTTCTATTCTTCCATGTATGCACCCTAACTGTTATTGCGTTATTCTGCTGTAGAAACCACTTACACTTTGCCCTGTTGTATCACATGCTGTCTCAGGCTCAGGACCAGGTGCTCATGGGAGCCCAAAGGCCTGATCAGCCAGTATTGAGCACTATGCAACAAAGTCATTACTTTTCCCCTGTGGGTTCGGGATGAGCATCTGGGATGGGGTTGTGAGGAAAAGGGAGGTGGGGCAAATCCTTCACTTGCACCACTGTGAATAGATGTGCTTGTATTATAAAAGAGAATGTTGACAACAAACATGTGTTGGCCTTCTGTGTTCTTAAGACAATCATTTTTTCATAAGCCAATCACAATATTTATTTGTGGTCATACCGTGGTCGAGTAAAATAGTAAATCCAAAATGTTTGGTGGACAAAATGTTATTCAGATGGAAGCACCAGCCAAGTGTTCGCACGAGTAGTCAGTAAGTAGCCCAATTGGCAGTTTGTTTAGAGGAAGGACACCCAAAGGGTTATTTGTCTTAAACAGCCCGGCCATAAATCCAGACACACAAAGCCAGGCAGAGTGCCAAGATGGACTTTTCTTCACTTTGTTTGTTTTGCAAATGTGAACACACCTGCTTCTACACTGCATATCTGGACTGAACAGGAAACAATATGATATAATATAATACCACTAAAAGAGCATCCGATGAAACTGTGACTAGGTTCTGATTAAGGACCAACAGCTAATATTTTCTTTGTTTAACGTGCTTTATCCCTTTCTCGCCTTGTAGATGGAGCCATTGACAGTTCCTTTCTGGGGTCATGAGCTTGTTCTTCCCTTCACGTCTGTGTAACTCGAACCTCCTGGACTGCAGCCACAACCTCCCCTCACCAATGCGTCCAGGACCATGGGCAGCGTCAGCAGCCTCATCGACAGCAACAGCCTCAGTGGCAAAAACTGCAAGGCATCTGAACATAGGTCAAAAAAGGGAATAAGTCCTCATAGAAAGAGTGGAGGTTGCAGCCTCGATGAGTTACTGAAGTGCGGCTTCACGCAGGGCTCCTCGTCCACCACTCAGCCCTCTAACGGCCTGTCACACTCCCGGTCAGGTCGAAGTGAAGATTTCTTTTACATCAAAGTACGGGTCATCGGATGACTTTAAAACCATTAACCTATTTTGTAAGGAATACATATATGTGGTTACAAATCATAACATGTTTATCCTGTTCCCTTAAAGGTGAGCCACAAACCGGGGTCAGCGTACCACAGAGGAGCATCAATGGAAGATCATGCAGGTGGAAAGAACAGAGATGGGGAATCAGATGGGCGACCGCAGCCCAAACTACTGCTCTTTTCAGGACAAATGACTAACAGGGTGAGCAAAAAGTCCATTGTTTCCTCAGGTGCCTTATTTAAATGTACAATTAAAAGAAAAGTACAGCATTTTTGTGAAATATCTTTATCTGCTTTGGAGCCATAATGAATAGCAGACTTTCGTACGTTGAATGTGTAGGTCGAGCCAGCAGACGGTTAGCTTAGCTTAGCATACAGACAGGAAACAGCGGTAAAATTTGACGGGGCATTTTCAATGCCTCGCGAAATGTAACTTTGCTGTGCTTTACTTAACTGGATACGTTGCTATGGTTGTTCTTACAACAATGCAGGCGTCATGTGACATGCCTGCAAAATACTTACCTTACAAAAACGTTGAGGATAAAACACGCACTGCAGGTAGTTTAATTGTCAGCAACCATTCCTCATAACCTGTGTTGAACCTTCCCAGCTTATTAATCACCCCTTCCCAGATTAATGACCTAAGAATGCCTTGATCTTTGCAGTGGTCATTTCCGTGCCAAGAAAACACAGGAAAATGGAGTCTCCTTCAATAGGTCTTTATTCCTGTGGGGCAGCAGGCAAGAGAGGAGAGGAATAGGAAGCAGCTTTAGAAGAGATAGAGCAGAGAATAACATGGAAGAGAGAGAGAGAGAGAGAGAGAGAGAGAGAGAGAGAGAGAGAGAGAGAGAGAGAGAGCGCTGGGGCCAACAAGAGTTTGAGGAATGGAAAGAGAGAGAAAAATGAGGAAAGGCATCCCAGTCGTGAAGTCAGTGAGAAGGAATGCTGAGCTCACAAGCTTTACCTCTTACACTTCAGCACTAGCTCATATTATTAATATCATAGAGAAGGACTATTCATCTTTGCTCAGACAGCACATGGGGGAGATGGGGGATGCAGAGAGGGGGAGAAATATGGTACTGCTTGTGATGTTCTTGGACAGCACAGATGGGGCGTGCGGAGTATAAGTTCATCTTTTGAAATGAGTTTTGTCTTTTGTGACAGTCCTGGGAATTTTACTTGTAACTACTGGCTTTTAACACTGCCAACTTGTAGTGAGGCAATCCTGAACGCATCAGTGGTTCTATTTCTAATGTGAAAAGACTTGATAAAAAAAAGCGTTATCACCTTCATTTGACAGACTTGCACTGTGTGACCATATTTATCTCTAGGAAACCGTCATTTTGATTTTCAAGTTTCATAATGTGACTCATCTTTGGCTCTCTGTACCTTCGTACAAGCAAAGAGGAGCCACTGAATATAAAATACAACAACTGGGAAGAGCAGCCCTGACGATGTGTCATTGTCGATCTTCTAGACTCCTAGTGAGAAGTCATTGGTCCGTTCTACTGCTTTCGAGCGTGGGATTCCCAGGAGTGCATCCTCCACGGAGACCGGCCACAACAGCCTGGACATCCTTTGTCCTCTGGAGAAAGCAAAGAGCCCCGATAGCAGATGCAAGCAAGACCACTTCTCAGGTTTTTATTCACATCATAAAGACGAATTGTTAGTTATCAGGTTGAACTGTAGATTACACAAAATAAATGCCTTCTATTTCTTTTTCAGGGACTCTCTCTGACTCTGGACGTAACTCTATGTCCAGCCTGCCCACCCACAGCACCAGCGGCAGCCTAAGTGCTTCCACGGGCCCCGTCAGTAGCAATGATGCCAGTTCAGTTCCCGCAAACAGCCTCAGCAAGGGAGAAAAACCCAATTTCCCTCCGTGGGTCAACAGTAATAGCACTAACCTTGACTGCGGCTACAGGACTGGTTTGTGCTACGGAGGGTTCGCCTCCAACTCTAATGGGGACGCTGGCTCCCCGCTTTCTGCAGATGAGCCGAGCGCACTTTCTGAAACTGCAGGTGGGATTCGGTCCCCCATTACGACAGATGAGTCACTGATTGAACGTTTGGAACAGAAGCTGCTGGAGAGCGAGACCGAACTGCAGGAGCTACAGGTATTAAACTGTCACGTTACTAAAAAACAGCATGTGCTTTTAATCAAGATCAGTGCCTCTCTATCAGTAGTTACAACCGTGATAACTTTTTACCGTGGTGTCTTCGCCTTGCAATAGGTGAGTTTTGAAGACAAGGAGGCAGACACATGCCAGCTGTTTGAGGACAGACAAAGGCACGGTGTTGAGGATATGGAGAGGCTGAAGCTGCGATGCTCCACAAAGCTGCAGCACGTCTCCCAGATGGCTGCAAAAACACAGCAAGGACTCCAGCTGCAAGTCAGCCAGCTCCAGGTCAGCCCACCTCCTCTTTTCCTTCTTGTATCCCTGGTTTCTGATTCGTCTTTCAGTTTCAATGATTAAAAGGGAAAATTTAGCACCTTTTTATGCGGAGGGCTAATTAATATTAATGGCCAGGTGTAGTCAATTGAAGCAATTCATCCCTAAATTCATGTTATATTAACTACAAGCTGAGTTCTCCGGATTAAGGAGCTACGCGCGTACATGCACCTGGATGCATTGAGCGCAAATTCTGTTGGCCGCAGCTGAGATGATTCTGGCTGAATATCAGAGTCAGTTAAAAATACTGTAAAAGGTTTTCTTGTTCTTGCCAATCTGTGTATTTTGGAAACATGGTTTGCATGGCGCTGGTCGGAGCATGTGCACCCCCCGCCTTCACAGAAGGGAAGACAGAGAACAAATGCAGGAAATAGCCTGTGACGCTTCCTTGCATATACAACTATGTCACTTTCACATCACATCACAGTGCTGTAAGCTAGAAGAACACTGATTTATACGCTGCTAAATCAGCTTTCTGGGTCAATATGGGACGCAGTGAAGAACTTTTGTTTCAATCAACTACATTCACCGTCAAAAGGGATTGGATACAAAAAATGTGGTAAATTTTCCATTTGCGATACGTTATTTTGAGTTTTAATTTAACTTAAGAAAGAAAAGCTTAGTGAGTATTTAACTCTTGTACAGGTGGAGAAGGAGACGCTTCAGGATGATATCGCAAAGCTTACCCAGCAGAGGGATCTTATTGAACTCAGACTCAGGTCTTGTGCGACGGAGAGCACACAGTTCGCACCGACACTGGAGGAAACTCAGTGGGAGGTGAGTCATTAGTTGAGTGATACCAGTTGGGTTAAAACCTTGTAGCACACAATACAAACTGTTGAAACCTTGAAGGCTGCTGAGGAGGTGTGGGAGCTGAATGCTATTATATCGCTGGATGAAAAATTCACCACTATGAATGGTGTGTAATAGAGAGATCCATTTAATAGATGTGTTGTATAACGTACAGAGAATAATCACCAACTTTGCTGTTCTCCTAAACCCGATTTAGCTTTCTAATATCTTTCAGCTCATAGTTTTGGTTTTATGGCCGGGAAGCTTTCCTGTTTAGCGTCAGTATAATCGCTCTCATCAGACCCGTTTGCTGCTTTTTTTGCTGCAATCAAACAACTGTTTGATCTGTGTCTGGTGGATCTAAATGAGCTCTTCTTCAATGTGTCTGCCAAAAATGTATTTATGTAAATGATTATAACATATACATTTTGTGTTTACAGCGAGTTGAGCAGACACCAGATGTTTTAGTTATTTTCATCTTTAGCGTGTTTTTGGAATGAGCTGAAAATGAAAAAGTAGCGTGCGACAATTGTTACTTTAAAACAAAATATAAGTTACAGTCAGTACTTCATGGCATTTATGACCACAGATTCTGCATCTCTAAGTCACTGTGCTGGGTGTTGTCGTAATGGGGAATACACAAAATAAATAATTGTAAATGTGTACAGAATATGAAGCCTTGAACATAATTACATTTACAATTTCATCTGTCCCTTAACTATCAGTGTGAGGTACATTATACGCATTAATACTCCGGCTGGTTCATCTTCATAACTGTCTCTGTTCGAATGTAGGTGTGCCAGAAATCAGGTGAGATTTCATTATTGAAGCAGCAACTGCGAGACTGCCAGGCAGACGTCAACCACAGGTTGAATGAGATATTCGGCCTCAAAGCGTCACTGAAGGAGAACGCCGCAAAAACGGAGAAACTCGAGAGACAAAGCAAAGAACATGATGGGCAACTGCGCTCTCGCACCATTGAGGTGGAGGTTAGTCTGTTCATGACTCAATGGCAGTAGTGTCCAGCATGGCATTCAAATAAGGACTTATGAATAAAATAGACACACAGCGACAATAAGACACAAGCAATCTGGGTTCAGAAAGACATATAGAATCTTTTGTGTTTAATAGACCCTGTTACAGCAAGAAAAATAGTCTGAACTGCGCACCAATGACTAAATAGTTCTCATTTTTCATTTAGGTGTGCCAAAATGAACTTCAGCGCAAAAAAAATGAAGCGGATTTGCTGAGGGAGAAAGTGGGAAAACTGGAGGAGGACATTCAGGGAATGAAAGAGGAATTTGCCGTGGCCAAAGAGCAGAGGGTAGGGGTGCAGCAACAAGAGGCCCAGACCCAGGCCTTGGAAAGACTAATCCACGGCTCTGACTGTCCGGCCCAGGACCGCGGGGAGGAGAGCAGTGGACACATCGCCACAGAATCACTCCAGAGAGTAGTGGAGAGGCTGAAACAGCAGATCGAGGAGGAGAAGGACACACGAGAGAGGCTGGACAACAGCTTCAAGCAAGAGAGACTAATGTGGAACAAGGAAAAAGACCGGGTCATCAAGTACCACAAGCAGCTCCAGATCAACTACCTGCAGATGCACAAGAAGAACCAGGACCTGGAGAGGATCCTGAAGGAGGTGACCGCTGAGCTGGAGAGCCGGACCGAGCTCGGCGTGGACTTCGGCTACAGCTCAGGGTTACAAACGTACGACGACGTTATAGCAACCGATATCTAACAGAAGCACTGCAGTAAAAGTGAACGCCCAGTTCGTGACTATTTTTTCATCAACAATATTTATGATTTTATAAGTGCTGGAGATTATTTACAGCTAAGTACTGTTTTATAAGGATTACTTACTTTTTATTTTAAATAGCTTTGTGATGACACTGTTAGTACTTGGTAAAAAGTAAATACTAAGCTATTTAATGTTTAATGACAATTTATTTTACCCTGTTGTCCAACTTTATCTCCCAAAGTTCAAATCCTCCACAGTTTTGTAGTTAAAACACAATTTATTAGTTTATGATTCATCTATTTTATGTATTATTACTGGTGGTATGCATACATGCTGAGCATGATAGTGGCTTAACATCGGTCCCTTACAGCATGGCAAATGGGAGTGATATATTGTGTGTTGTGTCCAGGGTACTGAACCTTGATAGATTTTGCCTTGTGTTTATCCCTGTTACTGCTTTCTCCAACACAGTAACTATTATTAATTATTATTTATTAGACATTTCAACACAACTTACAACTCTCAGGGTGTGGTTATTTGTTATGATGGACCAATGTAAAATGATTAGTTGCACTAAAAAATGTCTGTTAAAATAATGCATTTCCATTCAACTACATTGAAGAGTGACTGTCAGTATGCGCTGTACTGCAGTTGGTATATTTCATCAAATCATCTGTATGTCTATTTCATTCTCTGAATGAACTCAAACTTGCTGTTACTGACCTAAGGTTGTTCTGCAGTTGTTCGGTCAATTTAGATGCCATGATAGATACAATTCATCAAAAATCATCATCAAAATTATACCACTAAGCAGAACAATCATATTCAATGATAAATGCATGCTTGCTCGGACGATGGTGTCAAGCGCTTGTAATCTAACTATATAATGTCATTTAATCTATCTACGATGGAATGAATAGGTGGACGCTCTTATTGCTTTGTCTGAGTGTGCATGAAACCAGCACTGTAAAACAAACCTTATGCCACATTCCTGATACAGAGATGCACATAATACAGTATATATGCCACCATAACACCTCTGACAGATACCAAGGGCAAATGCAAATTTTGAGGATTTACTTTTTGTTCTGTTTGGGTTTAGACAGAGAGAAAGGATTAAACCATGCTAGGCAGAATACAATAACAAAAACATTTCAAGGAAAAAACAAAGGAAAGAAAGGTCTTCTCCCAAAATTGTTCATCTAACTTTATGAGAGTTAGCTGGCACTGTTCCACTTGAAGACAAGCAGTCCTTTGTAGCAGCAACCCTGGACATTTAGCTCTGCTACTTTGCAGCTATTCCACCTCCCACAAGGGCAAAGCAAAAGTTGAACTACTCCGCCCACTCAATACTCGCTCACATAGACTATGAGGCAGAAATGAATGCACACACTGTGCTGGTCAAGAATGTGACTGTCTAACGAGGCTGCTTGAGATTGCTCAGCTACCCACCATTGCATCACATTAGCACAGCATGTCAGGAGAGGATTGGAGGCAGACAGAATAAATGGAACTATAAGGTGAGGCGCTGTAACCTGGAACACTCAAACCCGAAAGTCTGATAGGTGTTTTACAGCCTTTTACTCTGGTCCTGAGCACAGAGAATTGGTCAAACAGGGAACAGCAAAGGACAGTTGATTGTGCAACTATGGCACTGGTGAAACATTTTTGGAATTTAATTTATCAAATCTTACACTCAGTGAAAGAGACACGGATATAAGAAAAGTGACTGTAAATTCTGCATCAGTGCTTGTACTTTGCTAACTTACTTGGCTGGTATTCTAAAACTCTGTTTATCTAAACAGGTGAATTTGATATTGATCTTAGGAAACGGATTTATTTATGAAAACTCTTTTTACCAGAGAGGATTCAAACAGCAACACACAATAATCTGCATTATCCTTGCTTTTAATGATTGCTAGCATATTTAAGCCACACCACAGAAGATACTACTGCCGTAATAAATATAGAGGTATTGGATAATGAAAGAAATATTTCTGTCAAACTAGCAAATGCTGGATTTATAAATAAATGAGAATTCTGTTGATATACATTCATGTCTGTCTTCAACTGCACTCCCTCATTATCATTCTACATTCCTCTTGGACTTAAATAATGAAAAGATTATTTTCCTACTCGGAGTAATCATTTAATTTGGGCCTTTATAGTGTTTCCTTTCTCATTCAGCAGCTCTTTCCACCTCATCTGAGTAGATTGGACTAAATCAAAACTGAAATCAAATTAAAACCGATTGTCAATATGCCTGGCTGCGTCATTGTCATGAATGGAGGACCACATAGAAAAGATAACAAGAAATTCAAAGTTATTGGTTCAAAATGAAAGAAAACAACAGAGCTGACTAATGAAGGGATTCCTTACTCAAAGTAACAATGAACGAAATCACAGAATCTTTTATGATTGTATACAATGAAAATAGATAATTGTCATGTGCTTATGCATATCGACTGCACTTTAACAGCAGAATCGATTAAAGGAGATTATAACTTAGTTCAAGTATTTAACTCAAGCTTTCAATTTCTTCAATCTTTATCATAAAAATAACCATTTTGAATAATGTGATGCAGAGGCAATGTGGGGGTTTGGAGGGTTATGATATGCATCTCTTTGTATGGACTTGGCTGAATACACAGGGTTTGGGGCCAGCAGATGCCCCGGTGCGATTTGTAAGCAGCTAGGCAGCCGTCAGAAGACACGGGTTGATAATTTAGCCCAGCCCTGCAGTGACATGATAATAATGCTCTCATATCCTGCTGTGATTCTCCTGATCGGCTGACAGTCAAGCACAAAAGGGCCTGAATTCATTAGTAATGGGGAGGCACGTGTTCAACATTCAAAAAAGCCATCTCTGCCTAAATATTTACAGCAATCAGATATAGCAAATTCACAATATAAACTATTGTTGAAATAATATATAATTGGCCTACTATGAGAGAGTTTCCACTTCATTTGATGGCTCGACCCTCACTTCTAACGTTGTAATAGATACTCCACACTAGTAAATAATAGATGATTCAATAACACTGTATCAGTTTCCACCTTGCCCTCATTACTCATTACAAACTTGCATACTCAAATGTGCTTTATCCCAGCCATACCCCTAAGCAATTAGTTGCTCTACAATATCAGGGGGCTGGTTATTCAGGCATGTATTTCCTATTTTTATTGGTTTATTTCAAGCCCTGCATGCAGACCAAGGCACGGCAAATCGCGTCAGCAAATCCCCATGCTCCTCCATAGTCAGCAAAGTAATTGGGGAGGGAGTCCCAAAGGGTCCTTGCACACTACTGAACCTTTTCCTACCGACAAGTTGAAATGGCGATATAGGTAGATAGCAGTCAGTTTGAGTGTGCCTATGGGATATAAGTTCAGGAGGTGGCTTGAGTATTTTGTGTGAATAGGCCCGCAGTCTTTAGAGACTTGCTGGTTGGCTGGGAAACCATCTGGTTGCCCAACCCCCCAGCTGCATTCCCATTTCTATGGGGATGGCAAATTTTGCTCTGGGGGGGCTGTTCGAATGCCAATTTAAGCCCCAACTGCTCAGGATTTGTTAATTAACTCTATCTCTCACACAGAGAGAAACTTCTTTTGTAAGTAAGTCTACCATTCATCACAATCCAACTCTTTTATTCCACAGCTTTGCCAACTATCAGCTTGTGAAATTAGCTAGGAACAGTTGAATGTGCAATAAAAAGCCCCGTGAGGAAAACTGTGACATTAAATAAGCATAACTACAGAAAATGGGTTCTAGCTAATTGCAGATTTGAAAATTCCTTTTTGCTTTTAACTATATGATTTCCCTGCAATTGCAACCTCACTGATAAGATTGAGATGATACTATTAATTTTGTTTAGACATGCATTAATTGAATATTCATAGAATATGCTTGTCAGATTGTAAGTTACTATGGACAGCTGTCAACCACGGAGGACAAGATATCAGTGTGTGTGTGTGTGTGTGTGTGTGTGTGTGTGTGTGTGTGTGTGTGTGTGTGTGTGTGTGTGTGTGTGTGTGTGTGTGTGTGTGTGCGCGCGCGCATGTTATCTAAGCAGCATACCATAATGAGATCATCTCCCTTTTCCATTGATGAAACAATGCCATAAAGTCATACATACATATAGGTCTTTAATTCACAAAAATCATGTGTGTGCATTTTGTACACTGACTCTGTGCACTGAGACAAAGTGATCATATCCAGAAGTGATGACAAAACGGAGGTGGGTTGCATCGCTTCCATTTAGCTGAAAAATACAAACAATTGAAGACAAATAGTAGTTTTAGGTATTAGTTCTGGTCATTTGTATATGATAAATACTTTCAATTTGACTTACCAAAATAGTATTTGACTGAAGATGTCCCTCCGTATGTTTACATTCTAAAAGACATCAGTTTGTAAAGATCAGTTAAAATTCTTCCGCATTAAAACCAAAGGTGTTGACCAATGATGCTGTGTATGGATGTTCCTCTTACCTTGCTCTGTAACAAACTCAAATTGGGAGACATTTTGTGAGGTGTTCTTTTCTATATGTAGATGCTTGACTGAAAGAAAAAAACACCATCAGATATCTATAAATGGTTTGGACAAACTATGTATATGTTTTTCTTTGAAGAAAAACATACGATTTCCATAGTAGAACACAAAACACGAAACTGTGAACATTTTGCTGAATCACTACTGCCTTGGAACTAATATATTTTTGCAACGAGCCTGTTAAATGAATAATACATGCAGTGAAATGGCATCTGGTGAAATGTAACTTTATGCTATACTGTCAGGGTAGTAATGGGATTTTCAACAGACCTTCATGGTTCCCTAACAATATATACCCCTTTTAAGCACCATGAGGTTGACCTTTGTGGTTTTGAATAGAACGTCCTTTACACGTTCAAGCCCTCCTCAGGATACGCTTTAATCACTTTGGTAATCTAATATCCATCTAGTGCCACCCTCAGGAGAATTTGTTCAATACTTTGGTTTAAGACCAAATAACAGAAAATCTGATGACATTACCGTACTTAGTGCCTATATGCTAAACTAGCAACACCATACCTGAGGCCCGTCCATTACTGTGACCATATGCTAGCTGGTCTTACAATGACAGCATTATTGGAATACATTTACATAAAAAATCTCTTGACACCATAGAGATTAGAGATTTTTTTATGTAAATGTATTCCAATAATGTTGTTCCTCCAATATAATCTGTGTTCTGTAAACAATTTAAATAAAAGTTTAACCCCCATATCAAAACGTTTGCAGGAAATAATGTGTTGTAATTCTGGTCCTACCATAAAATATGGGCATCTTTACTTGTGATTACACACAAGCAAGAAAACTTTCGCCTTGACTTAATCTCAAATTTAACAATGACTCCATTTAGAGAGACAATAACACATCGCCTCATTTCTCAAATCTATACCATTATAGCTGTCCACTGTCACAGCGGACACCGGAGTGGATTGAGCAAAGCGAATGATGAATTCTTGAGGAAACATCCCGGTTGACATCCAAAACGTGTTAGTGTTTCTGGGTGAAAGGAACAAACAAAGGCAAAAGGTTTGAGATTCAGAAGAACCAAATGCAAATCTGTCATTTCACGTAACGACCTGACGTTAATAGTGAGGGGGGGGGGGGGGGACATTAGGCGTTATTTTACTCGAATAAATAGCGAGTGAGTTAACACTCACCCGTCAATGATGTTTTCTGGTGGGTGATTATTATCGCTGGACGTAGCGAGGACAACTTCTGCACCCAAAGAACTAAGAGAGGAGTCGATCATCTTCGGGCAAGATTCTTCAGTGACTCACACAACAACGATTGTGATCTCTGTCTTCTTGCAGAAAATATCAGTTTCGACAATGTTATACAATAACTGGTTTCGTTGACGGGTCTAGGAGAAGTCTATTACGCTTAAACTAGCATAGCTAACGTTACTGTAGTTGCCAAGCCAACCACCCGGTCGCAGCATTTATACGTCACTTTGGTAACGTCACCATTTCCGACGCACGTTGCTTGTTAGTTGTTTAGCAATTAGCAGTGCGCAGCGAGAGTCACCGATCTAAACATGGCGAATGGATGCAAAGACGTGTTGTTTTCACGTGGAACTGGACAGGTTAGTGTGAATGTTCTGATGAGCTCACAGCACACGTCAACCTTGTGTATAACTGCCAACGTTATATATTCGTTTGTTTTGTTGAGCTAGGAGGCTAAGCTACAAACTTCCGATGCTCAGTCGGGTAACAAAGACTAAAGCAGTAATAAAATTGAAACCTGATATCTATCTCATACCTAAAGTGTTTCTGTAGTCGATGTATTGCCCTACGTTTATACAAAGGCTTCAGGGCGTTACCTGCTCATAAATGTTGCACTTAGTTTAGCATCCCACGCACAGTGTGATGATAAACATGACAGGTCCGGCGCTCAACTGTAAACTATGTTTATTTTCCAGAGTGACGATTCTGATATATGGGATGACACCGCCTTGATAAAGGCTTATGACAAAGCAGTTGCATCATTCAAGGTAAAACGGGTGGCTTGCCGTGTATGTGCATGCAAAGGGTTTATTTGCTTTTACTACTAACGTGTTCTTGATTTGTGTGCCAGACTGCCCTCAAGGGCGAAGACGAGCCAGAGGCTTCCAAGAAAAACCCGCCAGGAAAGAAACGCAAGAACAACAAAAAGAACCAGAGCAGGAAAAGAACAAATGCGCCCCCAGACAAAGAAGTGCGTAAAGGGAGTTTAGGGTATACTGTCGGGAAGCTTATTGTTCAGTCATTTTGTTAACAGCATTTAAACTGACATCATAGACATTTTCAAACGTAAGGCAACCCATTTTCTGTAATCTGAATGTGTGTTTGGTACACCCCCTTTTTTAGTTGTTCTTTAACTAAAGAGGAGGACCAAAATGCAATGCTTACAGTTTTCTATGTCTATGTTGTCACAGTGGCAGGTTGGGGACCCGTGCAGCGCATACTGGTCAGAGGATGGCCAGCTCTACGCAGCCACTATCTCCTCCATAGATGAGGAGAGGGGCACTTGTGTCGTTGTGTATACACAATACGGCAACGAGGAGATGCAGAACCTTGAAGACTTGCTTATGGAGATCTCTGAGGATGATGAAGAAATGAATACCAAGGTGAAGCAGTGCAAGTACATTATTATATTTATGAAATGCTAAATGTTTTTATTTAATTAGATTTTACTTGTTTGTATTTATCTTTTAATGATATTGTTAGTTATCTAGTTTATGATGATGTACATAGCATTCTCAATTTTTATTTGGCTCCCAACTTACGCTTAATGTGAACAGGACCTTTTTTCATGAAAGAATAAATAAAAAATTCCTTGTAATATGATACTTTTACTCAATGAATCAAGGCAGCTTCTGTCTGACACAGTGTACCCAAGGTTATGTTATCCACTTTGCATATATATATATACACACCACTAATGAAAAAACATTTTAATATTTGGTCACTGTAGACCGAACATAATAATCCATGATTATTGAGAGATGAGGTCAATTGAGGCAAAATGACCGAAACTAAGTACTTAATTTCATCCTGGAATTAAATGATTATACCAAATCGCTATGTCACTATGTAATCAATTCAAGGAATAAGATGTTATTAGTAAATCACTTGCATTATCTATAAATAACATGTTAGGTTGTTCTGCTTTTGCCTGCACCTCAAAGAAAAACATTACCCTACGTGTTGTCGCCATGGTACAAAGAAAATGACAAATAAAGGCACATCTCTGCAATTCAGGTGAAAGCGGCAGAATCATCAACAGAGGAAAGTGACCGGTCCACCACACCAAACCACCACAAACCGCTCCACAGTAAACCTCAGAAATCCAAGGCCCACAGAGAACCTCCTCCTATGTGGGCCCCTGGTTTCCCAGGATTTCCTCAAGGTGCACCTCCCATGCATGCTTCTAAAACGGTAAGAAAAAAGACCTTCTCTCCTTCCCTCATAAGTCTGCAAACAAACTGAACAATAAAACAAAAACATAAACCGCAACCTCTCAGAGTTTGCATTTATAGCTGGGAGAGTGTATTGGATTGCAATGAATTCAACTGGCATTTATGTTGATAGGTCTAGCCTCTTAATGTAATTCTGAATAAAGTCATAAAAAAAGTAATAGTGTGTGTGTGTGTGTGTCCAATTGAGTGAGATTACAAAAAACTGGACTAATTTAATGTTGAGGATAGTTCACTGAAGAGGGATGTTCAAGCCATTAACTTCCCATTCAAGCAACATGAGTTCAGTCCTTTGTTTGTTTTTCATCTTTTGTGTCCTCTAGCAGAGAGGAAGCAAACGATCTGGTGCTCACGGGCCTGTACCGCCTCCCTGGCCTCCAATGATGCCTTTTGGTCCTCCAGTACGTTTGAAAATATACACTAATAACAAATGAAAAAGCTGTTTTTATTTTACAGATTGGGTATGCATCCAAATATGTCAAAAGTGCACATTTTCTCACTCCGCTGCTGAACTGAGAAACCCTGTCAATTTAGCATGTTATCAATAGATGACTAATATTGTGAGCTTACATCCTCTGCATTATGATCGTGCTCTCCGCCTCAGATGATCCCTCCACCTCCGCCTATGAGCCCTGACATGGTGGAAGACGAGGCATTGGGCAGCGTGCTCCTCTCCTGGTACATGAGTGGATATCACACGGGATACTACTTGGTATGTGCACAGAAGCTAATTGATTCATTATAGGCTGTAAAAGTCACTTACTGCTTATATTTACAGGTTCAGTCTCTTGCATTATGTAGTGCAGAGCAGTGGGCGTGTATGGTAATTAGGACTCAGTTATTTAATTTCCACTGTTATTCTTCTAAGCTAGAAGAGCCTTTTCAGCAAAGGACTCCAGCTGCATAATGTGTGGGAGTTCTTGATTTTAAAAGGAAACCTATCTTAACATTCTCTTTACAGGGGTTGAAACAAGGACGCAAAGAAGCTGGCAATCGGACAAAGCTGCACCACAAATGAAACTACCCGCTCAACATTTTCTAATCTTGAGTTTCTCAAGGCGTCCCCTGGTTCAGCAGCCGTTCTCCCTGTTGGTCCTGATCTTTCTCTTAAACTAAGTGTACATGCTTTGAGTTCATGAAGACTCAAGGAGGAGCGTTTTTTGTATTCTTTGTAAATAGATTAAATAAAGGCTATCTCAGCACAGTTGATAACTTGTTTACTTTGTTTGTGTTTAATGCACCGTGCCATAGACGCACTGTTGTGAAATTCAACTTCATTTGGCAGAAAATGTCTAATTATAGCAAGCCGTTCCACTCCTTAGAAAGGCAAATGGTCTCTTTTTTTTTAAATTACAAAAGGAGTGGTTATTCAAATGTGTATTCGACAGACTCAAGGACTTGTGGTTGTAATTGCAAGTCATGTCCAGCAGAAGTCAGACTAGTATAATGTATTCATATACTAGGAAAATGTGGCAATGACACATCATTAATTGAAAGGTGTTTAATCCTAATAGAGAACCACTGCTACATTTGTGTCTGTTGGCACACTAACAATTTGATTGCAAGCCAGACTTAAGTCCCACTTTAGTCCCCCTGGTGATTTCCATGCAGTGTTAATTCAAAGAAGTGTGTGTCTGCGCCAAACACACGTCCAAGCTCTCCTTTCCCCCCCGAGGGGTTCCCTTGTCCACCGCCCAATATAAGATTGCATCTATTGTGTTTTTTTCACATAGGGAATAGGGGCATATTCAGAGTGAGACAAGCCATCGTTGAAAACTAATGACACTCTACAGATTGTGCAGATAAAAAATAATTCTTAAAGTCCTTGAGATATTCCAATGACAAACACATTTTATCTTAACATCCTTTACACTTGACAAGCTCCGACGGGCAAACTTAAAAAACATAAAGGATCAGAGAACAATGTGTTTTAGTACCATTGGGGTAGATCCACAACGTTGTGTGGTTTTCTTGATGTTGTGCTTGCTTGAAATGAGAATAAGAGGTTTGGTTACTGCAAAGTAGGTTAATATTTTCTGTGTATGTTCAGAATATTAAAACACATGTAATTACAGTGGTATCAGCCACAATCATGCTGCTTAGCCAGTATTGCCTCCATTCAATCAAAAGGACACCGAACAGATTTCCTACATTTCCTGTACTAGTTATTTGCTGCCTGCATACACCCACTCTCCTGGTTATGAAGTGGCATGAGATTTACCATAGACTCCGTGCGAGGCACAGAGAAACAATGGGATTTTTTGCAACTATTGTGTAACAACATGATTGTCTCCTGGTTTTTTGTATCATGTGATCTTCCTCCAGCTGCCCCACAGCCATTTCTCTCTGGCGTAAAGAGCGGCCCCTTTTGTTTGTGTACTGACTTAATAGCCCACAGTGACTGTGCCAGTGTGAACTGCAGTATTTGATTCTCACTTTAGCAGACGCTGTTGTTTTGTCCTGTTTGTGTGGTTAAAAGAGAGAAAAGAGGGACATTAACAGGAGAAAATGTAGTTTGGGGGATTAACAAATCCCTCGTTCATGGTGCATAGAATATGCACCATGAACGAGGAGTGATGAACCAGACCTATCTTCTCCCCACAGATGGATTTAAAATCTGCCACGGCAAAGCCTGCACATAAGCCCCGTACTTGCCTGACTGCAGCAAACTGAGCTGCCCAAAGGGCTCGACGGAGCAGTTAAAAGGGGGTCAGCTTGGGAAAGCACTGCTCCCCTCTGCGACTGTCTACCCCCTACTGTCCAGAGTGGCATGCGGCGTGTAAACATAATCTGCATTTCACATAGTCCCGTCTAGGAAACGGACAGACGTCCAAGCGGGATCACATTGTTGCATGCCGTACAGCGCCTCCGGCTATTTACTCACACTCCCAGCATCAACAAACATCCTGCTTTTAAATAAGAGACTTGAGGGGAGATTAGAGAAACGGGGCTACACAATCCCCTTTCCTTTCCCTTTTTCCATATGACCGAGCACCAAACTCTTGTTGCAGATCTACAGACGTTGTTATATGTTTGCGGTTGTAATGTAATTGCCCGTAACCCGTTAACAAAGGGGAGTGGGTGTGCTCTGTGCTAAATTACTGGATGTAAGTGTTTGGGAAACCTTGTTAAAGAGTGAGGACGGAGCACCAAATTGGTTGCCATATGGGAAATGCAACATTACTTATACATCTGTTCCAAAGAACACAAACATGCTGGGAAACAGATTGCCGTAGTAAGACTTATCAATGATTTAGGACAAAAATAAACAAAACATGCTCACCATCACAGCACTATGCCATACTGCCAACCAGTGGGTTTTAAAAGTGAATTGCCCCCCCATTGTTAATTAAAGGAGTTGAGTTGTGTTGTAAATTGCAGGAAAATCAAAGTGAAAAATTACTCCCAATTACACATATTCCTGACTTTATTTTACTGCATTGATTTCTAACCTTGCATCACAAAAGGCTTTAATGACTGCCGATTTGGCTGCCGATTCCTCTCCCTTTCAGAATCAGGATCAGCTTTATTCACCATTTATACCTAAATACATACATGGAATGGGAAGGTGAGTCCAAGTGGAAAGAATGTGCCTTCTTGATGGAATGGACCAAGCAGTGTTGTGGTCTTACCTTGAGTCACAAGGTTGCAGAGCAAACCCTTGCCACTCTTTATGTGAATGTGACCTCAGCCTAAGACAGACTGGTCCTTTATCACCTTTTGACCTTTCAGAATTCCACTCACAGCAGGTTCAATAAAGTTCTGGTGGGGTCACAGAGCATGATTGACATGCATGCCCTGATACAGATGCTTGTCCCATAAAAGGAAAGCCCATACCATCTTTACAAGTACCTTTCATGCATACGTTTATTCCATGTAAACCATGGCAGACACATTGGTCAGTATAAGCAGGATAAAAAACTTAAATGAAATATGGTCCGACAGTGTGGAGAATGCTGTTGTATTTATTTAACAGGAAAAAAATGCCCCAAAAGTCAAATAAATATAATGGATTTAAGATCTAAGTCCGAGTACTTTGATAAAAACATGGTGGTAAATTTAATGAGTGCTTTTGGGATTTTGTACATTTTTCAAATCATATGACAGAATTGAATTATAGGCTATTGCACACACACAGATCCAATTGATATCACTAATATCGTTAATTATGGTCCAGATCCATATGTGTCACAGTCGGTCCAGGGGGCACAGACGCGTGACACCAGGACCCGGGCCAACCTAAAACAAACAAGAGCATAACTGATTCAATTACACCTGTGTTCACCTTTCAGAGTCACGCTGTCTCCCGTCTCCTCCTGGAGGACTTGCGTAAACAGGCGTGTCAAACATCGGCCGGTAGGGCGTCTCTGGATCGAGGACACATGTGCAGAGGGAGGTCGGGGTGTCACCGTGTCGCTCACCGCTGCATTCACGGGCTGTTTGGCAAAGTTTTACACTTTCCACTGTCAGCTGTGAGGGAAGAATCCGTCTATCCGGTTTTTTTTCCTATTTCCCCCCCCCCTGCGAGTGGACTTCAGCTTCACTCTCCGCTCCCACATCACCAGAAGACACGTCCGTGTTTCATTTCGTCTTTTTGGAAGTTTTTATTGCACTCTCTTGGGGGGGCGTTTTGTGCCACCTCGGTCCACGGGCAGTCGGAGGCGACCCCTCCTCCCCCCCCGCGTTTAAATCCAGCGTGTTAACTTTGTTGCGCGGCTGTGAAGTTGACAGAAAGCACAGACGATGTTTTGCCGAAATCAAACAGCGCGAGCGACCGTCGCCCGCGGCTCTGCCCTTGAAATGGAGATACGGCGAGGGAGGTTCAGAAAGAGCGTCTTCCTGGACACATCACAGGTAGAGCACATATCACCTCGCACACGCACACGCACACACACAGACACACACTGCCTGGGATTCTCTGTTGACGGCTTTGATAGATGTCCCCGCACAAAGTGACGTATACCTGCTTGTGAAGGGGTTTGAGATGACGGATGTTTTACGTCCCCCCAATTAAAGCTGTTGACTGCAGCAGTTTTAAACTATTTCACTAATATCCCTTCGGAGGCTTAAAAGTGCGTCTGTAGTTCTCTCTGGGGTGTGTGGAGAGTAACTTAATGTGCTATCGGTTATGTTACACCGCATTTTATAATGTACAGTTTTGTTGGGATGCTGGTACATTTTTAAGTGGATATTGGCTGGTGCTTGTTCGTCGACACTGGCTCTTTCCTAGAAAGTCATTATAAGCTACTTTTTAGAATTTTCTTCTCAAGAGATCTGTGTGTCCCTTGATATACAACCGTACCAACACACCGTCTTTGGCTAATATTGCCACATTTCAAAAATACCCCTTTGTAATGTTCATTGGCTCCCTTGTATTGGTTTTGACCTGCTTTGCTCGTGGTTGCCGTGTAGGCATTGACCAAAGCACTCGCCCCAAAAGTATTCATGCAATTTAGAAGTTTTGCACTTCACCTTTACAAAACTACAAAGTCAACGTCTGCTTCATAGTTGTCTCTGTTTGTTGGCAGAGCAGACAGACTCAACGGCCACTTGTGATCTAACCTTAATTATCTTTACTCACGGGCAAAATGAATTCTCTTTGGATGGATAGTCCTCCCTCTGTCCATCTCCATTCTCATCCTCTCACTTATAAACGTGCCTGTGAGCAGTTTGCATATTCCATTAGTTTCACTTGAGAGTTATTTGGTTATTCTGTCAGAAAAACGTTCTAGTTTTAGGGGCGATGTAGACCGAAAGAAGAGGGAGGTGTGTGCTCAGAAGAGAGTATCAAGTAGAGAAAATAAGGCGTAATTCAATTGTAAGGGGATATTTAAGAAATGTTAATGGTGCAATGTGGCAAATGGAAGAGAAGGTATTGATTCCATCTCTTTCCTTCCCTCTCTGTCTCTCTTGCCTACGTGTGTGTATGCAGGAGTTTGTCCGCTTATGTGTTTATAATTCAACTCACAGGAAAACGGCACTATCTCCAAGAGAGTCAGGCACTCTGGTATTGATGTTAGATGCTGGAATTACCTTCATCTGGTGTGTGAGCAGCGTCAGTTCATCGCTGACACAAACGCTGGCTAAGGCCAGTAATACGTAACAGTTCCTGGAGGTGCAGTAGTCCTGTGAACTCTGTTACATACAGTGAATAATGAATGATGGGTTTTTGTATTTTCAGTGGCGCGAGTTGATGATGATTACCCCCAGAG